CTTCTGAAACTTTCCTATTTACCCCAGGCAGTGTCTAACGGCCAACTGGTGAAGGTCTCTCTACGAGAGCCCTATTCTAGGCACTTCCCCCTTACTCAGCACAGTTGTTGCTCTGTACGGCGTGTACGCGTTTGGTGTGAATCTCTCAAGGTCAGCATGGTGTTGCGTAGCCTGTGCAGAGGTCTGTTTTATCTGATGTATTGCTGTAGCTTGGGTTCCCCCCCCCCTGCAGTATGTCGGTCATTCTGTGTTCGAAGCCATGGCCTCGTAATGTATGAGTCTGTGGTAAGGACCACTACCAAAGAGCCACACAAGTATCAGGCTCGCCAGTCAGACAAGCTCRTAATAACCGTGGGCTAGGTCCCACTTGCACGAAATAGGAGACACTGACCGTAGATAGCAAAGATCAACGGCCGAAATCTCCTAATGGGCGCAAGTGGGATCTTGCCTGGTGCGAAGCCTGGGTTGGCACGACGAGGTTTCCCACCCTGCACCCTTTGGACCTCTGTACGTGTTGCCATCTCTCGGGCTCCCTATGGTAGATCTCCGACTCGTACCTTTTCGACTGAATCTGGCCAAAATATTTGCACACATACGTCCAGGAAATCTCGAAGTGCCAGTAGGCCGGAACTTGTCCGGGCCCGTGTCATCCTTGTGTGCACAGGGGCCATATTCTAATTACCCTTCTCTGTATCGTTCCAAATTTTTTGAGGGGTATTTCTCTATCTGTCACCCTCTTTTGTTTGCTGTGTTTTATGCAAACGATTGTAAACACGACAGCATACAGGCGTTGAAGAAAGACAACGCTACAAAAAAAAAAAAAAAAACAGTACCCCACAGCTGTTCGTTTTTTTTTTTCATGCACATCTCCACAAACATGGCCACAATTCGGTTCAAAACAAAACATACAAAACAATACAAACCACCCCCCAAAAAAAAACGACCATCTATCTTTCGGGCCTCGCAACAAAAAAAAACTCGCAAAGGATTCAGTCAGTCCACCTCCGTCGATCTCCCAAAAGGATTCAGTCAGTCCGCCTCCGTCGATCTCCCAATGTAACGAACGGTCGGATAACCGGTAGACGCCCGATACCCACTTACACCTATTTTTTAGGCCTAGTTGTGCACGACTCTGCACGACAACACATCCGACAACAGCCGTCGACGACCCACATTGTGAATGCAGCTGGACAACGTTGGCTGCCTCGGTGCACTTGTCCCCACCCGACCCTAAAGCTAGGTTCTATACGCAGCCACCGGGCAAAACGCATCCATCTATACGCACCCATTCCTGGCTGCGAACAACCCCCTAAGTGCAGCCATGTCAGCGAGACTTTGTCCCGGATCCGACGTCACTGGGCTGTTCTGATTTTTCCTCGTTAGTTTGCACTGGCCCGCGAAGAATGAATGTGGTCGGAGGGCAGGTGAAATTCATGCTATGCTACCGTAGAGAGTGCTGACTTGATAGTGTTGCTTGAGCCATAATTGCGGTCAGATGCATCCGGGAAATGGCAGCAACCCCTGTTCCCCTCTGATGAGGACGTACTCACCCTAGCATACTTTCGAC